TCAAGCGCTCACATGCGAGGCGGGAAGGTTAGGAAATACTACCAAATTAATGGTCACCCCAGAGCTTCTGCTGTTTCAGCCTTGAATTCTGCGCTCCTGCCCCTTTTTATAAGGTGAGCCGAAATTATATGTCGCTTGCTTGAGCTTGTGACCTTTCTAATTTTGTTAATTTTTTATTGTTTTGATGTCATTTTGAAACTAACATTCTCCCCAGCATTTTTACGTATAGAGTAGAGTATTCGCACTGTGGAGCTTTACCGCGCGCAAAACAGAAAGCTATTTCAAAACAGTTTCCTGGTAGATTTTTCGCGGTCGGCCAGCTCTTGTTCGGGACTCAGACCTTAAAAGCCGGATTCATGCACGGCAAAATGTTCCCAGCAGTCGGACCGTACCTCCTCTATCCCATGCTTTACTGATTCGCTGACTAGGTTCAGCAACGTGCGGTTTGTTTATAACTTGTACCCACAAATGCTGGAGAGATTGTTCGCTTTTGTATGATATCAAAACCAAACATAATAAACAACGAAAAACGATTAGCCAAAACAAACGGGAGATGATCTCGGTGCATCATGTACTACTTTTTTAAAATGGAGTACACCACTTGGATGACTTGAAAAAAACAAACCTCACTGCATCGATGACACGATCAACAGTAATCACATTACGAAGATGCGCCAGCATTAATGCGTCCATCATAGCCAGATGAGCAGGCTAAAACCAATTCAGTATCTAGAAGTGCCTTAAATCCGCAAGTAACCAATACCCACCGTATTGAAGGGATCAGACGCAAAAAGCTCAGCTTCAGTAACCGGAGACGTTCCACCGTCAACACATTGCAGGACGTCGACTCCATAATCAGTTAGTGCGGCTAGGACGGCTCCATGTGATTGCTAAAGAAAAAAATATCAGATAAATTCCATGATTGGCTCACGGAGTTGCCTGAATTAATGCATGACTTTTCAACAATTTTTCCACAGCAAAAAAGACATGCTATCTGCTTCATAAATCCCAGTTCATAGAAAAGAGATGGTGGTGTATTGAAGTTACCTGGGACTGCATCTTCATAGCCCCCCAAAGTGACGCCAGATTAATCAAGATTTCAAAGAAGTGGAGAGGAGCTTCAAAAATGAGTTATTGTCGAAGTTTTATTAAGCCCAGTTCACATATTCCTATTAATGGAAAATATCGCAGCGTTCATATTTCTTATTTCCAAACATATTCATGCTCTATTCCAGAAATGGTCTTCAACTATTCGACGAGCTTTTTCTGCTCTACGATGCCGTGTTCTCAGATTTCTTTGATAGCCTGATTACTTCCTGATGTAGATTCTGGAAATGAAAACACCCAAGAGCTGAAAAACATTTTCGAGATCTGATGTTGTTTGATTTACATAGAAGCCAAAAGCTGCCGAGGCGACCCGAAACATTCGCGTTGTGCATGTTGAAAACGTCTTGGGCGAATCAGTTGTAATAGTTGCCAGCCAACTTGATAAGAGTGAACATGCTTTTTTTGGCAGAACGAAGGATTCTGCGCTGAGAAATACTCAAATATTACGAGAAAATAGACAAAAAAAACTTTGCATGGGTGAATCGCGTTGCATGAATTAAGCTTTGCAATCAAAAAGCTAAATCATGCTACTCCACGAGAATTCGCGTCCATACAAAGATTGAGGTTTTGGTCCGCATTTTCAGACTAATATTTAGTATCAATGAAAAAGCTATGAAATTCCTATCTCTCAATAGGTGCTTACAAATATTACATGGATTAAGGCACTCGTATTGTAAGAATAGAAGTTTCCGTTCGTTTGGATACACAATAAATTGGGAGAATATTATGAGAAAAGGCAAAAAAGACTGTTCTCCGGTCCTCATATATCCCATTACATTCCCAAAAGATGTTCTTCGTTAACAATAATATGTGGTGAGAAAGAAATTAAGGGCGTCCCGCGAGTTATTCAGTTCACATCCTGTCAGCTGTCACATTCCTCCAAGTTCAGCCAACTTCCACATAGGCTAGAACTGTCACCTCGTATTACACACAGCCTGCGCGTTCGGAATCCCCTTTTAGAAACAGGTTGAGCCAGATCGCGGTGTAGTCTAGCGTACTTTTGGTAAGGAAAAAGAGAAGAAAACGTGCCGTTACAAGTTGCGGTTCCTTGAATATCTTCGCCGCTGCTTGACAGTACAGTGACCCATTAGTTAAGCCAGTAAGTATGGCGATGTCGAGTTGCAAGTGGCCCTGAAAAGGAGTTATGAATTTCAATCAAAAACTTATCTCGAGTCAAATCCAACAGTATACATATAGAACAGAACTGGCTAAGCAGAATACGCATGCATGCTGCGTCTTCCTGTTCGCCAACGAAATAAGGGCACTATTCAACTGTTACAGCCCCAAAATCTCGGAATTTTATTTCCCGACGTAACTTTGCCTGAAAAGGAAATCTTGCACTGATAAAAGTATTCACTGTTAACGAAATTCCATTAAAAATTATCATTCACTTTTGATGCTTACACCATGGTTCAGTTTTGCGCCAACCTGGTGGCAACACCTGTTTTCACCAAATGCTTAACCTTATCCTTAAGAGTTGTTCAGAACCCTGATCACGCATAGAACAACAGTTTTGAGCGGTAATATCGCTCGAAGCCATTTTGGCGCGATTGTGCATAATACAATAACAAGGGAAAAAGGCGGTTGGAAAAAAATTGATGTCATATTCATGATCAGCGCAGTAAGATTCTCCCATTGAATAAGATCCTGCAGCGAGAAAAAATTCCGCTGTAAGGGGCTTTCACTGATGCAGGCGCCTGGGGTTACAACAGTCCATAAGTACAAAAAAAGCGAATATTCTCTGCGTCTAAGCCACCAAATCGGGTTTTGTGTGTTCGAGCGTATCCAGATAAGTGTGATGAGAAAAAAATTAGCAAGAGACTACACATAAAAAAAAACAATAACATACACGCTCGTCACGGAATGCACCATTTCGAAGTTTGTCTGGTATGTCCTTTTCTTGTTCGTACACTCGTAAGATGAGCCAACGAATCGACGCGGCGAGTTTGCCCTGAAATAGCTCTTCTTTGTCCGCCCTCAGTGAGCCTCTTATTGTCACTTCAAGTCGCATTTCAATTCCATCGACCACCAGCACACATTTACTCCGACAAAGTCACTGCCGCCCCGTGCATCGGCGGCGATAATCGCCCTTGAGATTACGAGGCGATAGCCAACAATTCATGTCAACTATGCGTCACAAACCGTGTTTATCACCGTTTACACGAGCCTAATTCATTGTGCATTCAAGTCGGCAGCCCTTCAAAGAAGGGTGTGCCGTCTGTGAAAAGACAATTCCCCATTAGAGACAACTCACGCATTGGTATGATTCATATAATAGAACAATGATATTGAGAACCTAGAAGAGATAGAAAAGAACGCCAAGACGAACACCCTGTTTCATAAGCAGTTCAATTTGCCAATACTTCTTGAAACATACCACTGAACACTTTTCCTCCTCGTACAGCCCCTTTCTCGAAATCTTGCAAAATTCTATTTGAATACTTGTCATAAATTGGACGCCAAACCATGGGTGGGCAAGGGTGGTTTATGACCCCTCAGGCTTGTATTGCTTCTTTCAACCAAAAGCACTAATTGCAAATTAAAAGCGCATGACACCCTTTCCAATACCCCCATTGCTTATCATGTCATAAATCTTGCACCGGGTGAATAAATCGTTACGTCGTTCGCGCAGATAAGCCATTCCCCTGAAAGGAAGCAACCAATTGGCATTAAGTATTGATAGCCATGACATACGAGCAATCAAATGGTTACCATTAGAATGTGACACTGAATCCTGACATTCAGCGCATTGCGGCGCCTTAAAAAAAAACTCAACGTCAAAAATTCAATTAGAACCTCTCGTAATTGGCAAAATGAGGCTCTACAGCTCCAAACAGGATATAGCAGGATCAATGCTTTTTTCTAGACATTTACCAGAACCCATTGGAAGCATTCAGCCAAAAAAATCCTAAAATTTGAACAGGTGCTCGGTCAAGAACCACACTATTCAAGTGACCCATGGAACTGTTCGTTCTATAACGTCACTTCCAGGTACTGTGATTAAAAACAGGCTATAACTTTGATGATAACGACTGTAGTCGAAGTTGGGCGTTGTCAGGAAATTTCCCAAAAAAATTTTAATACCTCTGTTTACACTGGAACCGAAAAGTTTTCTTGAACAGTAGAATGGGAACTGAAGAACGCAACATCTTCAGAGCGATCACATTCTTCAAAATAGGAAGATTTGCACTAATTGACCGACTGCTTGCTGGGTTTGGTTTCCACTCAAAACTGCTTAAAGGAGCGCTGAAGGCCCTTTGATGAGTTCACATGTTTTCCGACGCCTGTGGTAGTGTGCACAATTCAGTATGCAACACAACAATGCTCAAGAGCTCCCATGGCGGAGGAAATCGCTGCGTGGCGGGGAAATACTCAATAGTTGCCCGTCAATAATTGCCTTTCAGCACAAGCGCATCCGGGCCGATTATTGAGGTCTTGAAACCAACAAACGAAGCCGAACAATCAACCATCACGACTTCGGGCGACAACAAAAACCGTTGACGAAATGATAAAGTCATTTGACGGACAAAAAACCCGGCACATCGGCCTCACGTATTCCCCCGGGAGCTCCGGCGATTGCCGATATATTGGCACTCAGTTTGAGCCTTTCGCATCTCATCTGCTATGCAAGTGTGCATGAATGTTCAAACACCGTCAGGAGTTCCGGAAAGGTCAAAACTATTCGGAATAACAAGGAAGGCATGCACAAGCAACAAAAAAACGACTATCTCATAAATAATAAGACCAAAATAACAACCAGTATACCTCAGTTTCCACATACTGCTCGAACGGAGTCAGCGGTGGTAGGATATTTTCATCCATGGTATAACGGGTGGACTGTCAGCACATCTGGAGAGAAATCGAAGTTTATTTTCGACAAAGAAGTTGGAAACCGGTAGCAATAGAATACAGAAACACGAAAGGAATGACAAGAAAAAAATGAAGGACACGTCTTTTCAAGAAAAAAATATGGCGCGTTACGAACCAAGAAGGAAACGACAGAAGCCTTCTTGGGTTGATTACGGTCTAGCTGACGGTTAGAGTTCAGACCGAGACCAGAATGGAGAGGACAGAGTCCCAACGAAGGTCCGAAAAATGACCCAAAATCACACAGGAATTGTTGCGCAAAGCGCACAATGATGGATATCCGTGCGCAGAAACAAGATTCAAAAGGGGAAGGGGGTTGTTGAAGGCAAAGCGCCCGACCATCCCACCCGTGCCTTCGGGGGTCAAGCGAACCGCGGCGCAACACGCGACGCGTACTCCCTTCCACTAGCCTCATTCGTGGCGCTTCAGCGGGGTTTTTTCGACTCCAGGCCCCAGCAGCAATCGTAGTGGTACGTACATAGGGTACGGACTCAATATTGATGCTCCGTAGCAATTGCGTCGCAGGTATAGGCCAACAGTGTTCAGTGATCAGACAGTCCATAATAAACAACCAGCGTTTGTTGAAACGGGAAGTATTTCGCAAGAGCGCAGTGACACCAGCGTTCGAGGGGCATTTTTATCAATTCACCGAGAAAATGACTCAGAAATCACTCGTTGTCGCTGTTGTCCGTAGCAATTTGTCTCCTTCAATTGAGAGTTGTTCCAACGGAATGGGAAATCATTTTTTTGAGCCATTTTTTTTCCTCTAATGGTCGCATAGTAGTAAGTATAGTAGTAAGTATAGTAGTTTTGCAGTATATTCAGGCTTTTTTCTGAATGATCTTTCAACCCAAAACTATTTCCCGTAAAAAATGCGTTGAAAAGTTCGGCATGGGAACAGAACCATTTTGTTGGACCCGTTTTTCCAATCCAGCTTTCGCCTTCGAAATGTCGAGGGTGATTCAGCATTCCACGGAAATTTTTATCTTTGAGAGAGTTGACTTCAGTTTGTTCCCATAGAACACCAAGTCCCCGAACCTTATCTATTCTATGAATTGATTTTTTACTGTAGTTACATAAAACTAAGATGTTGCCTGTTCTCTTACACTAGCTCTATTGAATTTTTGCCCAATGTTTTCCGGCTTGGGCTTCCAAACGCTGTGTTGCTCGTGTGACCTTTCCAATGGGATTGGGGCCTTTCTGACGCCGGGAGTATTCAAAGCAAGTTAACATACTAAACTGAAGAAGTACCAAGTGCCTCAAAGTAGTACGTAAGTTAAGTAAAGTAAAAGGACTGACGTCGCGTAGGAAAAAAAGCGAAGAAATTGGCGGGAGAAGTAGTTGATTAAGGAATCAACCAGGGATGGGAACGTGACTGGAAAAAAAGATGTCTAGCGTCGAGAAGAATAAAGGAGTGGGTGTCGCACGACCAGTTTAAAAACCCTCCGGCCAGGACGAAGTACAATGGAGGTAGTAGCGATCGATTCGGCCACCATTATTCTTGGAGTCGGAGGTGTGGTCGTGGTTAGTATACCTTGCTCTTTCCGAAAAAGTTCCATTTGGCTGCGAAACTGGACGTGCTCATTTCTGCACAATTCATCATAATGAACTTTTTACAATTCCACGTATTTGCTCGTTTCCATACTTGAGGCTTGGGACCCTCTGAATGTGCTCGAAAGCCGCACCATTTGAGAGTCGCAGTCGTTCGAGCACCACCTTGAAAGTCGCACCGTTAGTGTTCTCCGTATAATTAGAAAGCGAATATTTGAAAATATTGGCGCAAACAAATGGCTTTATGAAACAGAGTGGAGTAAATCTGTCGCAGCCGGCTCATAAAAACGACAAGAGTTTGCGCACGTACAAACGGAGCCCCATCTTCCTCGTCTCCCGAACTGCACGACTATCGATCACATCGTACGATTTCCATAATCTCCTTCCTCCCACTTCCTGAGTTGTTCTGCGACCTTCGTAACGAAAAAAAAAGCTTCTTGATTTCTGTAACAATTAGGTGATTTCAGAAAATTTACAGGTTTCCAAACAAAAAATGTTCTTAACTTTCGCAGAAAAATAGAATTATTCTGCGGAGTAATCAACAGGACAGACGATAAGGTCGACCATTCCTTTTTCAGATGCGCCACGCATTCTACTTTCATTGCGAATCGTAGTGGTGATGATTCGAACGCTATGGCCCACAAAATGAATTATTTTAGGTCTAGTTGATGCACAAGTCATTTGGTTTGTCCCCCAAACGAGTCTGGTCCCAAACCCGATCCTGTGAGATGAAAGGCTCGGTTGGCTTAGGCAGGATTTCATCTGAGCTTTGACTCCCAGATCGTGCGGTTTTAAGTGGGCCACACCTCCTCCCGTGCAGAATAATAGCGAAGAATAATTAATTAGATGAGAAATAAATCCATGAACTTTTTTGTCATGAACTATCAAAGCAAACACCTTCAGTGCTTTAAGCGAAAATGGCATCTTATGCACGAAAGTCGATCGACCTTTACGTTTCCCTACATGCCTCGTACAATTCGGCAGCAAATAGGTTGATACTGAAGAACATCACAACAGCTAACAGCTTGAGAGAAGGCTTCTGTTTCACAAGCTGCAAATAGTAATCCTTGAGTGTACCACGCGAGCTGAATAATCTGTGAAATGATCTATCTTTGTGAAATGGGGAATGATATCATATCTGCAGATATGCAGGTTTTAGTTCGAGCGGTAGATGGCGATGTGCTTCTATTTCCACTACGTCTGAAATGCACTACCGTGCCAGACTAGTTGAATAAAGTAGCTCTGTGAGAATATGAACCAATAAATCCACTTTTCAAGCACTTCCAACTCGCTGTTTTTTCCTTCTAATTTTGAATTATAAAAAGTTTTATATGAATACCTTAGTCAACACGAAGATGGAAAACCTATTTCCAAGCTCTTAGGAAAAAAAAGGGAAGGCCAACACCTACAGTTCGAGCGACTGCGTACTAAATTTCTTCGAGAAAAGAACTTACCTAGGAAAAAATTAAACATGGCTGAAACCCTAGAGAAGATTGCGGGAGTGGTTGTGAGTGAATGGGATGAGGCGAAGGTCGTTACATAGTTAGTGCCGCCGAAGAGACAGGCAGGGTTGTAATGGTTTATTCAGAACGTGTGTGACTGACCTGAATTCAAGTGCGGTTGTGGAGGTAGTGAATTAGTAATGGAGATTTCCGGAAGACACGCGCCACCACAACTGGTCACACACATACACATATGGCGCATATGGCGTGAAGAACTGACGAAGTCGAAAAATCTGGTGGATTTGTTGCCGGAAATTCGCCTTGAGATTTCCAGGTTTGGTCGATGAAGCACTTACGGTTTCAGTTTAAAAAATAAGTTACTCTAAAAAACCGATGCCATGAGGTGAAGGCCTCCTTCCCAAAGAAGTATCCTCATCTCTTTTGAATGAAACATATCAAAACTGCTAAAGTCAAAAGCTGTAGGGTCCAATTTTTCCAAAAGTTTTGTTTCAGACATGAAGGTTTGCAGGTAGAGAAAAACAAGAATGGACTAGACGAGGACTCAAAGAATGTTCCATCGAAAATGCAATTACGTAATTTCTGGGTTAACCAGTTTAGATGTATAAATGCGTCTTCAGTCTATTAAGCACCGCTCCTTACTGCAACGATATTTCCCCCCCCCCCACTTTTCAAAAAACGGGAAGAGCGTCGGGTGCAGGCCGTACCCCACAAGTGACGACGGTAATTTATTTATTTATTTATTTATTTACTTATTTATTGCTATGCACTCATAGGTGCGCCACAGTAAATTCCAAACCAGTCATAAATCGGAAACATCGATTTGAAATAAGCCACTAAATATACAACATTTACCACAAAGCGTGGAAGTTCTCATACACATATTATTCGAAATCGTTGATGCCTTATAAGGCAAGTAAGTCTATGCTTTTCAGTTTCCTTTTGAACGTATGGGTGATTCGTGTCATTTGCAAGTCTGTCGCTAACAACTGAAGCCATTTCGCTCCGCGGAAGCATAGCGAGTTGAGTTTTATCCTTTATCCTTCAGAACCTAAACCTTAAGTTTTTTGTATATAATTTAGGATATCGTGGTGATAATGAAGTAATGCGACCTCTACTTAGTCTTAATATCCAGTAGTTGCTGGACTCAAACTTAATCAAGGGCGGAAGTGGTGTATGGCAAGTGGCACGCTCACCACGCGAGCGGTCCGGGGATCAAATCCTGGGTCGTGAGTCGCCCGGGCCAACCAAGCCTTCCATCCCTCCGGGGTCGGTTAATTGGTACCATCCAGACCAGGGTCAACCCTACGTTGTTACGAGTAACAACGGGGGGTCGTACTCAGTTGAGCTTGAGGGAGGGGGGTCGTACCCTCTCGGTGGCCGACAGTGGGATTCTTGGTAATATCGGATAATAGCCAGCACGTTACGTTTTCGTAAGATGACTGATACTAGAGCATCTATAAACAACGCTTCCCTCTAAATGATCGGAGCTTTCTAGCACATCCTAAATTAAACATAAAATTGGTCTTCCAAGAAGTTACGGGCAGTGAAACCTAAGAAAACTCGCGTTTTCGAGAAAATGGCTTGAAGAATACCCCTCAAAAAAAAGTAACAACGGGACTAATTTTTGAACTGCTGATCTTTCAGGAACGCTTGGGTGCTCGTTAGAAAGCTTGAATCCTGTAGTTTATTATACCGTGTTCAGCTTCCCAAATGAATGACTTTGAAGGAAGTTATGATCGTTTGAAGGTAAAAAAGTCGCGGTTCCAAAAAAATAGTAACGCAAACCCCCAAAAAAGTAACAACGGGACTAATTTTTGAACTACTGATCTTTCAGGAACGCTTGGGTGCTCGTTAGAAAGCTTGAATCCTGTAGTTTATTATACGTGTTCAGCTTCCCAAATGAATGACTTTGAAGGAAGTTATGATCGTTTGAAGGTCAAAAAGTCGCCTTTGCACAGAAAAAAGTAACAACGTACTAAATTTTTATTAAATTAACTTTCGAAGAATTTTTACCCATGGTTGGAGAGAGAATAATTTGAATTTTCCAAATCAAATCACTTCGGCGCAGAAGCTCGAATATGAAGGAAGTTATAGCCTTAGAAAGAGGGGTGTAAAAATTGTGTTGCGTGAAGGATTTCAGTATTTCAATTGGAGCGATAATTTTTTCTGACTTCTCATAAGTTTTTATCAGGTAATATTGTCAATATTCCGGTCACTGGTTCAGTTTATTTCATCTCCTAGTTTGGTAACCCTTTGGAGTACACGGATATCTTTGAATGCATCTCATTTTTTCGTGTTTGGAAGCAGCGATGAATATCTGTCGTGGATTTTGCTAAAGTTTCATCTTTGATGACTTACGTAGAAATAAATATTGATGGTAAACACTGTCTCTACACAAGTGTCACATACAAGGGGGGTCGTATCAAATCACCCATGAAGGGGGGGGGGTCGTAAAAAATTTCCAAAGAGTAACAACGATAGGGTTGACCCTGTACCAGACTTGTCTGGGAGGATAAAAACACTGACTTGTACATCGGCTGGCCCCCGCAAGTCATTGTATAGGCCACATCGCATTCAAACGCCACTACGAATGTACAAATGGAAGTAGAATGCGTGCCGCATCCCAAAAAGGGATTGATCAACGGCAAATGCTTTATCCTTTATCCTTAAATTCACCCTTCAACTGTTTGAAACAGAATGCGACGTCATTGAATACACTCCTGTACAACAACGATTTAAGATTCAAGCAACGCATGCGGTTTTGTAAGTGGGCAAAGCTCTCGAAAGGCGGCATCAAAATAAAAGTCTGTCGAACCTTTTCAATTCTAGCTTGAAATTTCCTAATCCGAGGGCTCCATACGTATCTGTGAACCGTATTCGAGCCTGGGAACAACACATGCTGTAGAGTTTAAGATTGTGAATCGTTGTGCCGAATATTTCTAAAATGCGAAAAATTTAAATCAAAATTTATGAGGAATCTTAAGTCACGAACTTCATAGGAACTAGCGAGTGTAATATCGTCAATTGTATATGGTGTGATTCTGGCTCTTCCTAGGTGAAGGACCGACGTTTTCGCAAAATTTATAGGTATTCTCCAGTTCACTTCATCATGTTGCGAATGGAGTGGGTTAAGGCTTGGTATACACAGTCATAATTTTGTACATTGCAATTTCCGTGTATTTTAATGTCATCATGAATATGAATGAATTTATGAAATGTAAATGTTCTGCCAATGAAATGATTAGCCTGTTGCGGTTGTATTCTCTCAGTTGTCTCTAATTATAACGATCATTTAGCAAAAATTGTGTTACCTCATATGTATGTTAATCGTGTCGTTCACCAAAAATTTTTGTTTATAATATTAAAAATGAGCTATATGTTTGGAAACACTGATCAAGTGGCAGTGAGAACGATTGAGGTCAGGAAAATGAAGAGAATGGCGTGGGTGGGCCATGATGCCGGTGAGGGGGGTTTCAGTAATATTTTTCAACGTGAACTCTTTCCGATGAATCGAGTATCTGAAATGTTTACTGTAATAGAGTACCGTGTTGCAGCGGTGGTCTTCCAAGTGCCTCAAAAACTTTTTTTGAGAGAGAGAAGACATTGTTGACTACATGACTTTCTCTGAATTCTAGCTCTGAATTTAGTACGTTGCGCTACAAAATCATAGGAGACCACGAGAAGTCAAGATTCCATCATTCACAGGACTGCTATGTTGTATGACTACTTTATTTCTGCTTGTACTACTAGAATGACGCCTACAAAAAACCTATGCTCTCGAAACTTCTACTTATTCGAGCAAAAAAAACCATTGAAAATTAAAAAGGGTGACTATAAGGGTGACCAATGGCCTTGGTAATGAATGTGACATTTCTGTTGATGGCGGTGCCATTTGGAACAAATTTGTAATCTCCTTTCCTCTCCTTTTGTAGTTCACTCACAAGGTGCAGAAAGCCGTTTTGAAAAGCGCTCCAAACCCTGAAAGACCTTCGTTGTGAATACACTGCCATTTTCTTCGATGTAAACTCCGACCAGGAATCTGTTGACTGTCGTGATGTTCTCCTACTCAGTTTTTAGTAAGAATTTTGAGCACTTTGCTAAGATATCCCTTGAGCTCCCAAAGGTTGCAGTCACCTTGCTGAGGGAGCCATCAACCGTGTGCAATACCAACGTCTGGCTTTCACCGGCGGACGGGAGGAAGGGCGGAAGACAACTCAAACCATAATTCTAGTGGAGTTGCCATATGCCGCTATTCTGCCAGTTGACTCAGAAAAATGGTGAGTAAGGGAGATTTCGAAGGGTGTAGTACGTTTTTACAGCAGTCCAAAGGGTCAATCCTTCGCCCACTGTTGGTACATATGTGTACTACTTCCGTAATCAAAGCTCTACCCTAACGTTTATACTCTTTGCTGTAATGGCATTCCTTGAAAACGTTATGCTATTTTTCTTGGATGGGTTCTCAGAGCAGTTTCTAGCACATTAGCTGGACAGCGTTTGAAGCTTCAAAGAAATCGTCTTTTCAAAAGGTTCGCACAGAGCCTTCTCAATATTTCCACAGTAGTGAATTCGAGTCTGTTTGATTCATTACATTACCTCCAAATAATAATCGAAACTTAAGGAGAAAAGAGTTTTTCCATGGATGTTGGCTGAAGGCACATCAAATGAACCTCTGAAATGTGACGACATTAGTACCGAGCCCAATTTTCAAGATTTTCGTGTTACAGGTGACGTGAAAGCGTAAATGAAAGATTTTGGCAACAAGGCAGTTACGAATTCAGGAAGAGCTCATTGTAGCATGTCATAGCCAAAGATAGCGGCTCCTCAGACACCTCTGTAAATGACTTCATCACAAATCTTTATGCGAGCTCCGATTCGATCCGAGTCGACTACTAGTTAGAACCTCTCCCAATGTACCATTGTTGATGAAATCTTCAATTCTTAGCTACTATATCTTGCGCTTGAACAGAGGTGGTGTAGCAAATAAGCGGGCTGCTAACGCGCATATGGCCCGGGTTCAAATTCCCCTTAATAGGCCGAGCAATCTCTACAGTTGATTCCGGATTTCTAGAAGCAAAAAATGCTGCACAAGGCACATTAGTGGACTCATTTTCAAAAAATCGTTGTCTAAGGATTAAAATTAAACAGTTTTGCAAAACGTGGAAAGCAAGGCAAACAAGGTGGACGCCTGAGAGTAAGGTTTTTCCAAACGCGCTTCTATGTAGAAGTTGCAATCAAATATGCCTTGAGAATGGTGAAATACTCAAAAATTTTTGGTCCTATTATTTTTCCGAGCACTGCACTATTCCCAAAAATTGAGTTACCTGCTGATAAAGAATTCTTTTGACTACTGGCTACTCGGATTTCCTTCAAATGTACCGCTCAAGCCTTCTAAAGTGATTTTTGCACGATGTTTTATGATCAGCATGTTTGACCGAGTCATCGCTGATTTAGTCAGTCGGAGTCACTAGCGCAGATGGCGATCCGACGTTGACGTGTGTGTTTTGGGAACGTGTCAGAGAGTGCCCGCTAGCACTGTTTGATTTCACAACGAGGAGGAAAAGCCGAGGAGAACGAGGACGGCGGGCTTTTGCGAAAAGAGCGAGGACAACCGAGGGGGAAAGCTGACGAGCGTTGACGGCTGACCATCAAGGTTGTGATTGTGATCCGTCACGAAAACATCACACAAGCAAAAATGTGCAGCCATCTAGCACCAGGAAGTTCTGCCTGAAGTAAACCTTGTGAAAAAATGAACAGTTTAAATATTTTATTATTGACAAAGATAAAGTTTGTAAGGTATAGTAAACAATGTGCATAAAATTGGCATGGCCGGCAATGGACATGGACAGCTCCTTAAAATTCGTCAGAAGATTTCCAGACGAAATGCTTGAAAAAGGTCACTGTAAGCCACAGTTCGAGCAACGTTCAAAATTTGAAAGCAAAAACGTAAAAATGGCGTTGAGCACAATGGTGTGGTCTCATAGGCTACGAACACTTCTAAGGATTTTTGAAACGGATCGGTCTAGTGCCTTACATCTTATACAGGTTCTATACAATTTTCGCTTATAGTCAATGGTTCGTCCACCTGAAGCTGCCCTCGTCATTCCTCCTTCAGGCTGGGCAGGAACGTGCAATCCCTGGGCCCAAGATCGGCTCCTACATCACTCGGCGCCGATTCAGCCGCTCCTTATCAAGAGGTATATTTTTCAAATGATTAGATGACGCATGCTATCAACGCTCTTATCCTTAGCGTTATCAACGCTATTTCCTACAGCTTGACATTAAAGAGGTAGAGCAACCCTCCGTCTCTTATATTCACCGGCTGGATGCTTCAGTGAAGCTAACATCATTGTGTAATTGATACAGAGTCCACCCCGTCCATGAGATTCTCGCCACTTGAATGAGCTCAGGAAAGTGCATCTACGCTAATCGGTTCACTTGTGCACTACACGTAGTTATTCGTTGCTTACTCACCTTCCATAAGTCTTACATTACTCCTTGAGGTGGACCTAACGACTCCAAACTTGCGGCTATTCGCCTCTTCTCTTCACTCTGACAGCACTCCTCAAGACCGCAGTATTCTGTCTCGAGCACCTTGCCGAATGCAGGACACGGGTGGTGCGAACAGATTTCGTGGTCGCTTGTGTGTGTATGAGCAGGGTCAGTCGGTCCACCTGTGAGCCTTATCACTGCTATTCACTGCCTTGAGTGGACTCTATTTGCCTATTTCACTCACGTACTTTTTCCTCGTTCACCTCGCGACTATTTACACTTCCGGTCAGTACGGGTCGCGCGCGCGTCGGTCGGCGCCCCCCGATAGCCACAGCTCGACCACGATGACCCAACACTAAACTGTCGCCGTTCTCCTGATCTCGGTAGAGTCCCTAGCCGGTGGTGGCCACACCCTTGGACACACATCCACATACGGGCTTGCCAACGTACACACCTCTGCATCAAACCTCTGCGACATCAATCCCGGCTAAGCCTTCTCAGTTCTAGCCCTACCTTCCTCGTTTAGCCGTGAATCGCACCACTACGCATGTTATCTGCTATCCTCCGATAGCAGATCTTTTCTATTTAAAACTTGCTAAGAGAGCATGATAAGGTTTTCCATAGCATATAAGTTGAGAAATCATTTTTCTTCTCTGTTATTTTCGCAGGAATAGCGGTTAATATCACTACTCACAGATCAGCATTTCTGCTGTCCTTATCTTTCCAAGTTTTACCTATAGCAAAGTCCCTCCTCTATACGGCCTTCTCAGTGCTGCAAGTAGTAATCGTGATCCTAATGGTAAAAGATAACGATTCAGGGACCGTGAAAAGAGTTCGGGATGGTGTATGTGTAATCAGTGCCAAAACCCAGAGCCAATAGATCACCCCATTACATACTTGTTCCTACCCACATGTTTCGGGACCAAAACTAACCGAATTTTCGTGCGTTACACGCACGAGTGTTTTTAGTCCTACTGGTGGTCCTTGTTGTTGCTTGATGAAATATCAAGCGCTGGCCAGTGTTTGGGGATACACTGCGATTTTGCTCGCACCCATTTTCGCAGTGATGATTGTAAGGGTGTCGTGTGTATAACAGCACGCTTCCAAACACTTCTCATTCGTCACTTGATTAATATATTGCTTTTCTAACCAGGAGAGGTCTTTCAGGGCGTGCCAAGCTTTTTGAAAACGGTCTTTTGCATGATATAGGGGCATGCGGGAACCACAGAACCATGGTTAATTTTTCCTGAACGGCCCTCTGAATACCAAAAGGGGTCCCTGGTTCGATTCCTCGTGGTGACAAACTTTTGCATTTCGAGTTGACGTGGTTACTGACGGTCCTAATTATGAATATGGCATTCATTGTTCATGCTAACTCCATTTTGCGCGAATTTCAACTCGAAATGCAAAAATTTGTCACCACGAGGAATCGAACTAGGGACCCCCTTTTCTGGTATTCAGAGGGCCGTTCAGGAAAAATTAACCATGGTTCTGTGGTTCCCGCATGTGCCCCTATATCATGCAAAAGACCGTTTTCAAAAAGCTTGGCACGCCCTGAAAGACCTTCCTGGTAAGGGACGTAGCAGATGCATCACAATCATTCTTATGGCTGCACTTTGGCACTTGATCTTGTCAAAGGACCTCATATGTCTTGTTTATTCACGTTACGATTTGTACGCTTCTCTTTGCGTAAGTAATAGCTCCTCCAAAGCTCCACGCGACGAGGAAAATAACTTTCGATTGAACAAAAAATGCTTTTTTCAGGAATACTACAATGTTTATTCTACTAGTTCTGTTGTTTGTACATTTGACAACATGCCAGGTTAGTATTCACGTAATCCTATTAGGAAGACGAGTTCTAAGTTTCATTTTCAGTTTTGTTGTTATTTTTGTTGATAATGGTTTCACATCATCAATTTGCCATTTGTATTGGCCATTTAGCCTGAAATAATATCACACACAAAGTTGTATTTCAGTTCCATTACCAGCAACCTCGTGTGCAATCACAACGTGCTATGATGTATCCTGTGAGGACTAACTGCCAGTACGTATGGTGTACTCAGAACCGCTACCGATGGAACTATCGGCCTACAGGTAAGATAACCGGTGGAATTGATGGACATTTTTCATCAGGCCTAGCGGACGTGGGGCTTGAGATTTTTATTTGCTCCCAAATATGGCAATCATATCGAAGTCTAATTTTTGTCAGCTGGTATAAAAAGTGTAGAGTGAAGAGAATATGAGCTACATTATATTTTTCAATTTGTTTTCTTCAGTGCTATTAAGTAAAAATTCGCGATGGAAATGTTATACTGACGGGACGTTGACTTATGACCAGTGCGTAGACCTGAGACCAAGCTTGAATCTGTAGCTTTGCTCTCTGAAGGGTTAGCTAGAAGAACGGTGCCCAGAACCGTAAGTTAGTAAGCGGTTGGAGTTCCATTCGAGGCCAAACGTCTAACCATCGAGCTAAGCATTCTTGTTGATAGCCTTCTGTATCAGTCAAAATTAGGGCTCGGAGTGATGCTCTACGGCCCTTCAGTGGTCAAACCAGAGTTCTTCCAGCTGTTAAACTTCGGGGATCATTCTCAAGGCTCCTTATCACTTTGCTGTCGGTGGGACTGTGCCCGAATTAAGTACTCTCAATTAAATTATTTAAGTAGGACCCACACTTTCGAGAGTGTGCTTGTTAACGCTGATCATAATTTTTTTTGTCAACGACCATCTTCCCTTACTAGAACGTCATCACCGCCGCTATCAAATAGCAGAGCATTAGTCTCTTTCTAAGTTTCAAAATTCGAGCATAATCAGCCGCTTCGGCTATTGATCCTTAAAACCGAAGTGTATTTCATGAAAAAAAAAAACTTGTACAGTAGGGTACTATGGTAACCTTCTCCATCAAAATTGCTGAGGCTTCTATAAAAATTGGACTCTCTTCTGCCAATCAAGGTGTTATCCGTAATTAATCGGTTTCACAGGCCTATCTCGCCCACAAGTGGGTGTGATTCCCCCCGTGCCGTTGGTAATTCCGCCGTTGCCAGCATATCTCACCACAACAGCATTCCCTAGATCGTTCACTTTCACAACGGTTCGTTCCGATTTATAAGTACTGGCACTGGATATTCCAATATAAAACTGAGATTGCGTTTTCATGCCTCCCTACCAACTCCTCCGCCCGAGGTTATCACACCGACAACGGAGCTGCCGACTCCTCCTCCCGAAGTGGTGACATCGGAAATCCCGTCCACTACACGATTTCTGCGTCCTGAACGAAAACAAACGAATAGGACAAGTTTGTTCAATTGAGTCGTATTGTTCCATCGAAGGCTTCCTCTTAGTGCGTTCCATTCAGAATTCTTCAATCCATGCCCATCCGGGCGTCCACTTATGAACGAGTATGAAACTCCGGTCACCTGCAACTATCTGAACCAGCCGAATGGTGGGTGTCCTGAGGATTACTGGTGTCACACTGGAGCTTCATTCTCCACGACCTCGTGCTGCCCTCGAACCGATAATGGTCAGTTGCGTCAATTTTTACTTGACAGGCATTTTCAGTGCTCTTATGTGCCAACTATATGTAAGTATAACCTTTTTTTCTCTCTCTCTCTCTCTGAGCTCTCTCTCATCTTCATGACAGCTCTCCTTCTGATATTCTTTTTCGAGACATCAACTGTCTACTCTATAAGGCACGAACTATACGTATAGTAGGGGTCAAAAGTGATTGTCGAAACGTTTTTTTTTCGTGGATTTCAATTTTTTCTCATTTTTGAGATTACCTGTAGATTTTTCGGTGTTATCGCAGTATACGGTGGCATCCGAGTAGACTAAGGCTAGGGAGGGCAGGAACTTCAGGAGAAATGAAAATTTCTCGCACATTCTAGAGTCTCTCCTCCCCTTCCTTAGTCCCGTTTTCAACAAAAAGAGATGTTTCATGTGGCTCGAGATACCCTGTCACCATAATGTCCCCGTATATTGCAATAGCGCCAATTTTTCTTTTGAATACCTTGGAAATAACTTGGATTCGTAGAACTGATGGATCCAAGCAGATAGAAGACAAAAAGTGTTAACATTTGGGGACTGATCAGATAAGAAAAAACAATGCACAAAAAACTGTTCCGATGGAGACTTGACCGCCACTGCTATTCGGCCAAAGCCCTCGAAAAAGCGTCAAAATTCCACTCTACAGCTACGAGACACTTTAGTGCTTCAGCACATCTTAAAAGTAAAGTATGAACACGTCACCCCCCCCCCCTCATTGTTTGTTCGATGACGTTTGTTAAGGAAATGCCCTTTCAGAAGATCGATGCGAGATGCGTCGCGATACCGGGGAGGGGAACGAACTTGTGGCCAGGTGGTACTATGATAAAAACGCCAAACAGTGCCGCCGGTTAGTTCCAATTTTCTTGTGATCTCTCAATAACTTTACTAGACGAAGTGTGTTCAGGTTTCTCTACAAGGGCTTACGCGGTAATATGAACAATTTCGTGACAAAGACCCAATGTGTGGATGCGTGCGAGACAAGTGAGTTTACTCAAAACGTTCGCGCTCGAGTACGATATGACCGCTAGGCCAGACGCGGGCAGTCTCCGGTACGACCGGAAATGACCTGACGAAAAACCGTCAACGGGACGTCACATCGTGACGGACTGGGTTTTGTGTGCTCTTTGCCTGCAGAAAAACACTACGAAAACGGACGGACTCCATTTACGGCAATCAATTCATGATTGACAACGGGGGTTTTGGATCCATTTAGTTCCCCAACAAAGATTTCTTCAAACGTTCACGCCGAAATCTGATATGCTCTTTGAATCTCTTTTTTCTTCTGTAAACTCACTGTTAACGCGCTGAACAGTGCTAAGGTATCGGTCTTTCCAGTGAACGATGGGGAGGGGGAGGGGGCAATAAAAAAGACATTTTGTCTCCAGACTCAAATGGATTTCACACTTTGCTCAGCTCAAAGCGTGTGCTCCCAACTTAGAATTGAAGAGCGCATTTCATTTCATAAGAAAATCTTCATAGTGGCCATCTACGTGGACGGCATCAGAAAATTTGCCCCGGAAACATGGTGCTCTGGTCGAGCTCAATGGGGTTCTCGACTGATCGTGTACCGTTACGACGGGTTCCGAAGGGCGAGGGGGTTTGCATAGTTAGAGCTAATGTCCCTAGGAAACTATCCCACGTTGAATCGATCCAAGAAATTATGTAAGAGCTTCAGGCTGAAGCAGTTACTGTAGGCCTCCCTGAGCTCGACGACGGTGACAGATGACGTCATATTCTGAAGACGGTGAGGGCAGTGAAGGAGGGCCTGCGTGTACTTATAGAGGGACATTTAGGGAATATTTTGCTGAGGAACTTCCGTCAACGACGGCAATCTCTGCGAAGAAAAAAAGGCCGAAGTGCGACCTGGGCAAAATGTCTTTTTTTTGCCCCCCCCCCCTTCCCTTGTCTATAGGCGGTACTGGGGTTAAAAGAAGTACCACAACCCTTTTTCACAATTTTAATCTCATTTTCAATCTTTTTGGTTCACTGAACACGATCATTCATATTCACATTTTTTGTCTACTACCCATCACAAACTCAGGTAGCTTCTCAATGCCTCTTTTTCACAACAGTGTGGTGGCGTGTTGAAATAGCGACCGAACTCGTTCTCAAATTGGAGCGAACGTAACTTCTTTTAACCAGCATGACGATTAATGACCCGCATCAGTCGTATTTCTTTATTGCTTGACCTATACAATACGCTGAGTGGAGCAGGAGTCCCAAGCTACAGAATTCTCCAGTGGGCTCACTTATCCACATGTGGACGCGAAATATCGGGAAGATAAATATTACGGGCCTTGCTGACGAATTGCGTAGGGCAACTCCTGGAGTTCGGCAAAGTCGATCTCTCCCACTACAATGACGCCGATGTTGAGGAATTTCTAGTTGAGCAATAAAGATTCCAAGGTGCAGCTAGACTCCCAAAGGCTCCTATTCTCAAGACCGAAAGCGTTGGCGCAGATAGAATGCGCTATAGTAAGGAATGAGTTCTACTGTGAACGTAACAAACGTTTTTCTGGCCGTTATAAAGTCATGTCTATGAAGATTTTCGCAATAGACAATGACATGGAGAACATTGATTAAAGGTTTGAGTTTTTCAGATTCTGGCAGTTACTGATTGTGGGCCCCTTCGTGTATAGTGAGGAGCAGGGTGACTAACGGTTAGAATTGGGTGAATAACGGTCGAGGAAATCCTCGACCATGGCTCTCTACCATGCGAGAGTAGTGCCGAGAGTGAACATCCGCGCGGAGAGCACAGACGGCTCGCGCATGGCGAGTGTGAATGTCCGCGCGGGAGAGCGTGACTGAACAGGCGAAATCCTCGACGAACGTCGACGAATCCTCAACCGATTCTCACCCTGGTGGAGGGAACACCGAAAGTATCCTTCCACGTGATGTTCATAACTTTCACACACAAAATTTCTTTTGAAAAAAAGAAATTCGAATTAAGGGTACCCAAAACTTCATTAATAACTCCGTTGTATGACTGTGCAAGGTTTGGGGACCCTTTCACGACTGCTTATATTGGATTCAGGCTATGAGAACCACTTCACCCAAACCCCTATTGCAAGGTGTAGATGGATATGATGAAGGTACGCAGCCGCAGCCTTCGTCCGTCCCCCTTCGAAATTTTTGGCTGTGTAATGTAAGTGCACCGTGGGTCCAACATAAGGAACTTTGAGATTCCGCCATTACTTGGATTTTATAATTGGAATACGTGAATATTCTGAATGACTCATGCTTTTTTTATGAAATTTTTGCGAAAATAGTCAAAACCCCTTCAAAACGACCATTTTCTTTTGCAACCACAACCACGACCCCTCTAACTTCCACGAGTACGACCCCCTTCTCGAAGAGAGCCAACAATAAACCCGACCCCCCCCCCGTTGATCCTGCGAGGTAGGCTTCGCCTCTCGGCTCATTGTCAGGCAAAATGTTCGACTGACATCACTTTTTGGCAGCATGAAACTAGACTTCCAATTTTCTTTCAAGAATGGCGGAAAAACCTTCTACCACTTCGAAGAAAAAGAATGTTAGAATGTCGGCAGGAGCATCTGTTGCGCAACTCCTTTGGGCGCTTACAGTATAGTAGATCATAGTACACAATTATGCAAATTACTTCGTTATTTATCGTTTTTGAGCAAATATTATTCAGTTGTCATCATCGATTCCAAAAATCCGTGCCGTTTCGGACATCCAGCCAGACATCCAGGAAATCAATCGAGAATATTATGTGGCCCGAATGATGGGTCCTCATGTCCTGCAAATTACTACTGTCACCTTGGAGAGAACCCAGAAAGTACCGTATGCTGCGAATCGAGTGGACGTAAGCTTCTTTGAGCTTGAATTATAACTTTTCTAATGGAGTGATCTAATCTGCAATCTTCGTGCACTATCAATAAGGTTCTCGATATGATTTAATTATCCATGAGAAAGGGCGTGGGAGAGCGCCGTGCACACGTTGGACTGTATCTTTGGCAGTGAATGAAGGGATATGATCTCACAGCTAACTGTAAAGGGCAGCTTAGCGCTTTTAAGCAATCTCAGCGCACTTTTTTTGAACCTAAAGAAAAAAAACGGGGCTTTCGCGAATGGGTTGAATCCTCCTGTGCAGTTTAGTGCAACTACTAGAAAGTATGTTTCCACACAGCACTGTAACTTGTGAATTTTTTTCACTTTTCTCCATTTTTCTTCCATTGAAAACCTGATTGCAGTGACTGATCCATGCCTCCTAGCCTTAAACGTCGGTCAAGGGAAGGCCCTCTTGAAGAGGTAATTTTTGTTTTTGCCTATGAGGCCATCTGAAAGTAAGCTCTATCGTTCTGAAGGTTCTACTACAACACGTTCTCGAAACGTTGCGCTGAATTTGTATATCGCGGAACCAAAGGAAACGAAAACAACTTCCTCACCAATAAGCAATGCCAGGATACCTGCCAGAGTAGGTTCTTTCTCATTTGGATCTAATCGTGTTACTACATAGATGTTTGGAGCGGCCAAGCATATGGACAGGATGAAAATATTTTTTGAGCCCATAGTGAGAGCCTTCACGCAAGCTACTTCAAAAACAATTCTTCTGTGGCAAAGCCGTCTTCCACCCCCCCCCCCCCTTCCCCTTCCCCACTCCAGCGACGTGCAGCTTTGAAACGGGGCGTGGAATGGCGCGTGACTTGCGACACTGTGTGTCCCATTGTTGGATTTCCGCAAGATCAAGTCGAATTTTTGACTTGCTTTGTGTTTGTTAACTGCTCTTTTTAGACGCAGTCCGATGCTCAAGGTTTCCCAAAGTTGCTGAGCTCGGTGCAAAAAGTTTCTCCCTCGCGGTAATCCATCTCGCATCTCTCGCTTCTCGAGCGCTTGTGCTACCAGTTACACCTTCAGGGTTCTTGACAAATTTCTTTGCTTTTTTCCGCCACTAGGGCATTATTCAGCATCCCTACTTCCACTATAAACCCAATTCAATCTTTCATCGTTTCCGTAATTCGTCTTTGAATGGTGTATTCACTATAGATTAAGCACCCCACTGTCTTCATAGTCAGCCTATTGAGACGGTGGCAAAGGTGCAGCGCTTGACATTGCTAACCCGGCCTGGGTTGCAGCGTGAGCCGCTAATGACCGCGCGGGTTACCCGACAGGAGGCCCGCCGTGCGGCAAGAAGGCAGAGTCAGCGGACGAATCGAAGCGCGTGGTTTGCCATGAAGGACAAAACTCAGCATACTTGTTGCGAAATCACTACAGTGCGCCCTGCGACTCGTCCGCTCTGCCTTCCTGCCGCGCGACGGGTCTCCCTTCGGGTACCCGACGCGCGGACAGAGCCTCTGTCGCGTCGAAGTCTGACACATGTCTTCTCAGCACTCACATGCATGACTAAGTGGTTAGACGATATCGACAGCGAATCGCCAAGTTGAAAGCGTCAACAGAAGAAAGTTCTTGACTTACTTAGTCGACTGCTTGTTCCCAATTTTGTTCGTGATACGGTTTTTCCTTGAAGAAATTGAAGAATATCGAAGGAGTTTGAGACGGATTCACGCTTAGGAGAGTGTCTTGCCCATAATTGAGCAAATTTAGGATGAATCCGTTCTATTTTCGTAGGAGGTTCCAGCGAGTTTTCATGGTAATGTTACAAATAGCGTAAATCAAGCGTGGAACAGCAATGACTTGTAATGCAGTGCATAGGTTTATTGGGGAAGAAAATCATGAAAATTTGTTGGAAGTAACAACTATGAGGAACATCTGCAGGAAGAGGCTTCGATATTCTGGGGAAAGGGATCCATCGAAATAAAAAGACAGAACGACGGAGCATTTGTGGGGTTTATCGCACCAAGAAGGTTGTTGGTTTGTTGGACATGCGCTAACGTACCTTCTGTTAGTTCCATGTATTCTGGAACACCTAGAACCATATTTCTTTGATAATTGCTTCCAGAATGGAGTAATCCGTGTCCAGATGATATCAACTTCTCATCAAAGAAGGAATGCTCTTTGAATGGGACCGAATGCGGTGCTGATGAATGGTGCCATGTCGGCTCATCACAGACGACAACTGTCTGCTGTCCAGGAGGTACACAATTATTATTGGGATAAAAAACATCAGACATGTAGTGAAAATGGCTATTACTATAAGCCTTGCTCAACTTTGAGATTGAAGCATTTGTTAGAAAGCTAGAGAAGCAGAATCAGAAATGGAGTAAAATATTTACCCTGTCTTTGTTCCAGCCAACATTTCTCTAGCCAATACAGAATCAAGCCTATGTCAGTAGACCTGTTTCATATTTATGTGTTCACACTCGAATTTACTATTTCTATGACAAGCAGATAGCTGGAAAACTTTTTAGCACCATTAGAAGGTTCTTCACCGGAACTAACCCTTGTATCCCAATGTTGGCAAGTCTTCACTCTCGTCTTCCAGCTTTTTATAATTAATTTTCTGTTTCTACACGATATCGTAATTATACCGAGACCGAATGTCCCAAAGCCTTTACAAAATCTAAATGTTCAATTGCACAAAGAGGCACCGGAAGTTCTTTCCGTTTTGTCTTTTGTTTTCTTCTTTCGAATCCCTTTGAATTAACTTCCACTGCTTCTTTGTGTGGCTCAACGTTTAAATATGAGCTATGTTAAAAAGAATAAGGCAGTAGCATTGACCAACCCGTGTAGAATGCGCCATGCATCTTACTCCTATTTGCAGTATAAGTGGCACTAAAATGTTGGCCCTATCCGACCGATGCATAGGCCAGCGCTTCTATCATCCTTGCCTGGTATCAGCATCGATGGTAAACTTGACTAGATTGAACGGGAATTTGATTCGGACCTTCTGACTCCTGTAGAGATCGAACGCCTAGGTGGTTGAACGATATTCGATACGGGATCTGACCACAGGACCATTCGCGTGGTATGCGCCGCCACCTGCCGCTATATCGTCTCCGCCCGTGAGAAAAACTAGTTGTTTCAGTAGGAAATACGGCTACAGCCTGTGTCAGGTGACAAACCTAAGCTGATCACTTTCTTTGAAAACGCTTTCCTTCTAGAGAAGTGTGCGATTTTCTCTAGTAAAATTGTTCCCCATCATTTGTGACAGCCTTTTCTTTCTTTCCGACATTGAAGTCTTCTTCTTCTTCTCCCTAGCGTTAGTCCCGCGCAGTCGCAGGGTCCGCTGTCTTTGTCAGTCGTCGCCACTTTGCTCTGTCCAGGGCATCTTCTGCGTGGCCGTGACTTCACTTAGGTCCTTCTTGATACGTCCCTCCACCTCTTCTTTGGGGCTCCTCGCGGTCGCTTGCCTTGCACTTCGAAGTCCATCGCTGTTCTTATCGGATGGTCCTGTGGCCTCCTTAGCACATGCCCATACCATCGCAGACGCTGTTCCCGTACCTTCAGCTGGACAGGGGCAGTCTGCATGACCGCTCTGACATCCTCGTTTCTGACCCTGTCCAGCCGCGTCCAGCCGCAGGCCCATCTCAGCATCCTCATTCAGCGGAGTGAAGCTGCCTTTCGTGATTCTTGTTCAGGGGCCAGCACTCGCTGCCGTAGAGCATCGCAGGCCTTACCACTGTCCGGTACACCTTCCCTTTGAGCGTTCTGGAGCACCTTCGATCGCAGAGGATTCCAGTGCAGCGTTGACCCGAGCCTTCACCGCCTGATCCACACTACCGTCGGCTGCCAGATCGCTCCCAAGGTAGCGGAAGTCCTCCACTCTTTCGATGGTCTCACCATGGCCGTCTACGATCGGCTCTGCACCCTCTTCGGAGCTCAGGAACTTGGTCTTTTAGACACCTCTTCATCAGGACATCTAGTTTCAGGAGGAAGAGGAAGAGCTGACCCTTGGTGCACCCCAACCGTGATGTCCACTTCCTTCGTTAGGCCGTGTGGGGTGCGTATAGCTGCCTTCGCCCCATCGTACATGTCCTTCACCAGAGAGATCAGGTGTTCTGGCACGTTTCGTTCCCTGAGCGATCTCCATAGTACTGCTCGCGGTAGCCTTCTCCAGGTCGAGGAAGACTAGGTAGCAAGGCCTGCCCTTTTCGCGATACTTCTCCATCACTATTTGAGTACTACTATCACACTAATATTTACAATTCTTATTGTGATCGAATCATCTACTCTTCTCACCTTCGAAAATCACGGTTCAGCCAGGCTGGGCTGCATCGATCTAAGTGGTAATCAGAAGGCGCTATGCTCGGTGGGTAGGAGACGGGAAAGAGTTTCCCATCTTGACATTTCAAGTGATTCCTTGAGAGTTTTTGAAAAATGTGGCCTATGGTCCGAGCGAAAGTCGAGTGCGACGATGCATGAGGAGGCCCGGAGATGTACGAGGATATAATGAGCAATACTATCTCCTATCCAATTCTCTCCCCTCTCCTCAGTACCCAGTAGTTCTTGTCTTACTGTCGGCCTTAGAACCTTTCATAACCTGGAAAAGAGACCGCCACCCTTTTTTCTCTGTAATGGTCCAATCAACACCTTTACCTTTATGTTCCAGCAAAATAGCCGAACCAATTCAAGCACGAGGTGTGCCTTAAATTGCTAAAACCCATATAAGGATGGGATGTGATCGAATATCGAGTCGAGTCATGACGAGCTCCTACAAAAGCCTTTCCAGTTACTTTCTCCGAATAAAAATTAGAAAATATTTTGGTAAGCCTCCCAGCAA